TTTGGTTTTTCCTTTACATTCACCAACCGGCAGCAGCATGCTTTCCAGTAAGCCGTACAGGATATTTCAGGGCCTGTAATGCAGAATGTTGGTTTGGGGAAAAGAAACATTCCACTGATGCACATTACCATATTCTTGGCATGAAGCTGGTGAGAGTGTGCTTCTATCTCAGAGGTCTCTATTAAGTAACAAATGTCAACTGTAAAAGACCAGGAATTTCTAAAACCTTCTGCTGTTTGCAGGACATCTTTGATCTTTAATTAAAGGAAAGGCTTGGGGTCAAGAAACCACTTTTTACAACTTTTTTCAAATGGTTCTAAACTGTTGCAAGTCATTATTGTCTGCAAAAAGCTCAAATCACTAAACAGTGAAAGCTCACAGTAATCATCCCTGGACTGACTACAGATGCAAGAGCAAAGGGGGAAGACAGAGACAGACACTAGCTTAAGTTTCCTTCAATATCATAAAGACACATGCTAAAACACATTCATCCTCACTCTCCTGAAACAACCCCTCCATCTCCTAGATATGAGGATAGGAAATCCCTGAGTAGAACATAACAAAATATCTAGAGAAATTGATGAAGTTACTCAATTTTTCAACCGACTGTAGCAGAATATTCCATTGGAGTCCCAAATACACTACTTTATAGATTAAACAGAAGAGGGAAAATAAGGTGAGGCCAATTTTGCACTGAGAATGTTTCAGAATACTACTTCAAATTGGTTGATTTGTCTCTGTCCAGCAGGAAAGTTAAGAACAACAACAATTTTATATTAAACATCTTTAGTTACAAGCTGATACATTCATTTTTAAGTCTGTAAGCCTTCTTCCTTTTATGAACAGAGCACGATTACATGCATACAGAACTACACCACAACTACACAGATGCAACTCCCCAAGAGCAAGCTTGCCCCAGCCATTACATTTTGGCTCCCCCTGCTGGAAATAAGTAAAAAAAACAAGCGACACTACTAACAACTTCCTTCTGTAACTGCAGAGCACAACATTGCAGTTGTTCACTGTGCCACTTTTTCCAACTTCCCTTGACGCCCCAAATACAGCAATGATTGCCAAAATACACAAAAGCCTGCCTACATAGCGTATGAAGTCATGCTACACAAAGACTAGATCAGCTTCCATTTTTAAGACAAATCTTTTAAATCTATACAGCGTTTTTAGAGCTGCTGCTTAACATTCCCAGGCTGCAGTTACTTTTTGCTTGATCAGATTACTATGGTAAAGTTTCTCAAAACAGGCAGGTACCTTTGACAGAATGGGAGCATAACTTATAATTTCAGTTGATCTAGTCACACTAGTTATGATCTATCAGCTACACTACTTATGTCCATAAAAACCAGCTGGTAACAGAGATGAAAAACATGTCATTCTGTTCTAAGAAAAGTGGCTATGTCTGTATCATTAACTCCCTCAAGAGAGGGACTCTCTATTCAGTTGTATTATGCATTTTCTCAAACAAACACTAAGTGCAGGCCTTAGATCACAAAAATTATATACTGAACAATACTGGGCAATACTAAATAACTCACAAGGAAATGTGAACAGGACAGGTTGACACATAGTCAACTCTAAGTTGAACTGGAAAGTAATGATCTCTATTCAATAGCATGCAAGCTTTTGAACGAGACAAATAGCTCCAAGCATGGCAATAATATGCACAGCCACTGTTACAAATGCAAAAAGAAAAGTCACCGGTAAAACTGTTGCCAGGCAGAGAATATACCATTTTAGGATATATAAAGACATAGTTGAAGATCTTCATCTAAAAAACCAAGGCTCACTTAGGTATTATGCCATTCTTTGGTCAGCGTGTCAAACGTTTCACCACTTCTAGTTCACAGCTCAAAGTCAAAGGTCTGCAGATGATGAACAATACTTACTCTCTGCTCATATAGAAATCATTTGAACACCTCCACATGTTTATCTTTGCTGTCTCTGTATATTTGCTCGTTCTACCCTGTTCTTTTCAAAATGGGGCCTTTGTATTTCAGAGCTAGACAAAGCATGGGTTTACTGAAAGGTATAATTTGTGCTTCGTTGCTAGAAAAGAAAATCTTAAGGTATCAGTTGCATTTTTCACCACTGCTAACATTCTCTACAAGAATCAGTCCCAGAATCTGCAAGTTCTGTCCAGTTGTTTACAGCTATTTTAGAATCAATAATTCTGTAATGTAATTAAGGCCAGTTTCTCCTCCTGGACTTGCATCTTTACCTTTATTGTTTTGCATTTATCAAGTGATGCTGAATTTCAACCAGTATCGAAAAACCTCTCCGCAACTTCTCTAGTTACAAAAACATGCAGCATTGTCATATTTGCAAATTCGATTGCTTCATCCTCCACCCACATCATTTATTAGCTGTATGAAAAAGGTTCATGTGAAATCTTAACTTTATCCACAGCAAAACCTACTCGCATATTCTGCTCCATTTCCACACACAGCTGAGAAGATCCTTTACTCCCCAGTGAAGACTGTCGGATGCTAATGGCAAGGTGGCAATACAAAATAAACCAGTGCAAATCAAGTAGTTCTTATCTTAAATCATCACTCCACAAGAGTACATTTGTTCCTATCTGATGAAAACACAATTTCTTTAGGAGCTACAGAAACCCAGACTGGGAGATGAGATAGACAGAGAAGTCATGATCTATTCCAAGCGCTCAGGATTCCTTCTGATGTAAAGGAGGAAGCTCTGGCAGGGCTAAGGTCAATAAAACAGTGAAGCTAGTGACCACTCGAAGTCACTCAACCTATCTCAGCAGGGAGATCCAGCTTGGATTGAATGACTCTCAACAGCTATGCGAGTACAAAGCTGCTGCTACTGGAAGCCAGGGAGCTCCTCCCAGAGGCTACGAATGTGAGGCTCAACGATTTCCAGCAGCAGCAGTCTCCTGCTCTCCATTTGTACTTCACCTCCTGGTTAGAGTACCTGTGTCCCAGGCACTCCTATCAGCAGCTCAAGGAACAATTTCCTCCCTCCAGCCTTTAGAAACAGTTCTCAAATAGAAAGCAAGATGAACAGTTTGATAAGTTTATTATTGTCAAAGACAAGAGACCAGGTTCATGTTTCTTCCTTGCAAATAGTCTTCCATAAAGATGCTTCCGCTAGAGTCTTTCAGATCACATCCAGCTGTGACATGCATGTACTATCATACTCTAGGGGTTAGAGCTTAACTTTTAATTTTAACGAGTTAAGATTTACTCTTAATCAATCTATCACTGTTTTAAAGCAGAAATTCTTAGGACTCTTCCCTCCCCTTGGTGACTATAACTAGAATCTGGGGTGGTGTTTTCTCTTTTGGAAAAGGGGAGGAGTGGAGTTGGGAGTGGTATTCCAAAGGAACTGCAAAAACAAGATGATGGCTTTCATTCCAATCAAGAGTATGCTTTTGAAGTGAAGTCTCCCTATCACATTCATTTACTGTTTTCGATTGCACTGAGAAATCACCTAGGAGTGTGTGAACAGGATTCCTCTCAGATGAAAGTAAAGAAGATGACATGCTCCAGGAGCACACACAACCTGCTCCAGCTACTAACAAGAGCTCAGCGCACAGGAGCAGAGTAGAACTAGTCTGAAGTAATCCCTCAGCTACACAACTACATCCCTGAACACACACTGTGGACACCAGGCCCTCAGTACCAGCTGTTTTCTCTGGAGATCTGCTTCTGGATGTGATCCTGGGCAATATGCTCTAGGTGACCCTGCTTGAGCAGGGAGGTTGGACTAGATGATCTCCAGAGGTCCCTTCCAACCTAAACGATTCTGTGATTCTGTGATTCTGTGATTCTCTTGGGCCACGCTACAAACTAACGTAGATATAGTCAAGGTGGCTATGACAGAGATGAGATAACACTGAGCCTAGTCAGAAGAATGAAGCACATTCAGGAGTCTTTAAACATCCATCTTAATCACTGATGATTTTTAATGTCCAGTAGGTGTTCTGATCCCAACTTTTCAGAGGCTTGTCCAAAATTATCTGTAAATCCCAGAGCCCGAGATGTCTCTCGCAAGCCAGGCACTTCCAACTTCTAACCTCCCATCCTCCATTGCAACTCGCACACTTTTTAAAAAGATTAAGTTTTCCCCAAAGTGTTAATTTCTAGGACATAAAAATTAACCTACTGATATTCTCTTGAAAGGATTCTGAAGGTTCTGTGGTAGACTGAAGAACCATTACAACTTCAGATGCTCATGCCAGACTGTGTAAGATCTTACACATCTGCCTTCTTTAACGCGTATGGACCTGTGGGTCCAAGCTCTCCAGTCTATTAAAAGCTTTGAGGAGTAATATTCACTATCAGAGAAGCAAATGTAATAGAATGTTTATATACTTTGGAAGATGGTGAGACTGAGACCTTCTTCCCAAGTCCTCACAGAAGTACTTATTCGGTAAGGTATAAATTTTTCTGTAAACAGTTTGAGAAGTTCTAAGTATTAACATGGCTTACTCAAAGTAGCAACTACATATTTTCTATACCACTCGTGAACAGAGTACATGCATGAGTGTTAAACAGAAATCTACTTTCAAGTAATTAGACAAACACTGAGGCCATACCATTCCTTTGAAGCACTTAATGCTTTGGAAAGTAAAATACTCTAAACCTTTAAAGAAGTCTCTTCATGTTTAAGCACCCTTAACATAGAGCTGCTTCTCAAGAGACTACGTCTGCCATACTCCACCTGCTGGTCAGAACTGGAATTAGATGGGAATGATTTAAATTGTATTCCTGCACTAATTCAAGCAGATGCCTCAACAGTGTCATTTGCACTTCAGTAAGCATCATCGCATTACTATTTCTGATATTTGCACATATGTTTAGAAAGTCTTCCACCGGCTGAAAGGCACCCTGAAGAAAGAAAAAGCAACTCTGTATGAAAAGCAGGATATTATGACTGTCACCATGAGACAAGACGATACAGCAGAAATGTTTTCAACGTCAGAAACGGTCAAAGAAATAATTTACACTTTAAAAGCTTACCTTTGTTGAAAGCACTTTAAATGTACTTTGCTCTGGCACTATAGAATGAAGAAGAACAAGCTTTAAGTTGTAGTCTTCACCGGATGGAAGTCTCACTGATGCATTCATCTGTTAAGATGAAAACATGTCTCCGGTCATCTGAGAGAGCAGAGTTTTCCACTTTGGAGTAAAGGATTGTAATTTTGCACCAAGATTAAGTGACTAAATTAATGACCCTTCACTAGGACACTTTTAAAAAGTCAAGAATCAGGTAGAGAACTCCAAACGAAACCACTTTTCACTGCATTATTCAACAAGGTGTTTCTAAAGTACGCTACAAAATGAATAGGAGGCTTCAATTCTTAGCCAGCAAGTACTCAAAAAGCCTATTATCTTGTCAGCCTGATCTGCATTCCTTAAAGAATTCTAAGGCAAATAAAGTATCAACACATTAATAATGGAATATGAAAACAATTTGCAACTTCCCTTTTAATACACGCAAACTATGTGGCAAGTACTCACACAATTTTAACTATTTAAAGCAGACAGAATTCTAGAAGTATTTAGCTGTTACTAATTACCAATTTAGTCGAGAATAAGAGTCCCACTCCTCAATGTTCACAACTAAATTAAACATGAGTGTTACTGGTATTGCATATGGTATTACAATAAAGAGATTACAGTACCGCCTTGAAATATATACTTTGCTGCCACTATCAATTTTAGGGATACCAAAAGGGAAAAAAAAATCCACCCACCAACATTAATTTTTGAAGTATAATTGTCCTAAAGCAAGATACACCACCTATGCATAACCGTTCTTTAAAATACCTTGTCTCTGTCCATTCACACTCTGGGTGCATGCATACTCAGATGTTTTAAGTTCAGAGCACTTCCTTCCCCAAACCCTTTCAAATACCCAGACAGCTGGAAAACAGATGCTCCTTTTGCAGCATGCACACCACGCTAGAGTTTGTGAAGAAATCCTATGGACCCTGCTGTAGCAAAATACATGCATACAAGTACTCAGATAGAAAGTCGCTTGTACTATTTTTTCACACTGCTCCAAAAGATATACTGCTCACTGTTTCAATAACTACATCCTACGGAATCCAGGGATGCCTATCAATGAATCAACACAAATCACCTCTTTCTCTGAGAACCGTACTCTGACACCATCCTTCTGTGCATTCTTGATCATGATAGTCACAATTACTTGAGATTCTGTTTGGTACCAGTCATACCTTAAAAAGAGAGAGAAAAACTGACTGCAAGATGATGTGAAAAAATACCAGAAGCTGGACTATTGCACTGTGCAATTTAGTGGGGAAAGATGACATACAAAGTTAGATTTCTTCCCCTTCCTCTAACAAAGCACTTGCAGACTTGACAAGGTAAGCAGTTAAAGAACAAAGAACCATTTTTATCAAGAAGCATATTCAGAGCTAGGTTATTTTCTAATCCAATTCATAATATTGTTTGCCTTCTATAAATAGTAAATGGCAGTTTTTAGTTAGGGATCTTAAAAGCATCTCGGAACATTACCTATACTAAGTGTACGGGCAAGTCTTTGAATTAAGCTCAGCAGGAGAATTAGAAACAGAAGCCAGAATGCTTACTCCATTCCCTAACTCTCCCAGCGGAGCATTCTCTTGAAAGTATAAATGAATCTGAATGAAAGCAATGACACTGTTTAAGAAACATTTCACCTAAGAAACTGCCACTTTCTGAAGTTACTAGAGGGGGGAAAAAAAAAAAAAAAGCAAAAACCCACTACAGTTACTATCTTGCCTCTCCAACGCCTGAGTCAGGAAAGAAGTTATTTATTATCTTAATTCTCACAATAAATCTAAAGTCAACTTACTTGATCTTTGATGGCAGAGGTTGCTGTTGTATATTCTGGTGGAAGCACATTACATTGGAAAGAAAGTTACATCAACGTAAGTGAAAATATATCATGAAGTACATTTCAAAGACACAGACGCTTTCATACTGTCTGCTGCCCTTTTCTTGATTTACACGTGTGTATTAACTTACAAACAAAGATAAAGTTCTTCACTATTCTCCTAGCCATTTATTCCAGATGAGAATAACAAAAAGTGTCAGTGACTGACAAAGCATTTATTTAATATAATTTACAATATACAGGTCAGACATTTTATAAACAGCAATGAGTTCAGCCTCAACTCATTTTCTTCCTAGATAAAAAGTATACCTGAAAGAAACACAGTAGCTATACTGCTCATATAAAAGTTCCAAAAGAAACCTGTGATAGATTTCAGAAATTTTTTAACACAAAAACCTTTTAATTATAATATTTGTCCTTGCCTATACCTACCACTTTTACTGTACAGTTTCCTCTCTCATTTCTATCTTTAACCTTTAAAATTGGAATTCTGAAAAGAGGAGACTACCCAACATAAGTTTCCCATTTTATCTAAAAAAAGGTCAATTTTGACACTTCCAAAGGCTTCAAATAAGAAGAAAACTGAAAGCTGAACCAGTTACAGTAGAAAACGAGTCCGGACATACTAGTTGCACACACTGAAAAAAAAGTTACTTCCTAGCAGTCACAAGAAAATCAGTACTGACAAGATGAGCTAGTTAGTGTGAGTTAGGCCACAGACAGCAAGACAAAGTTAAAACTGGCTTTAATAAAATGTCTGCACAGTAATTTCCAGATTTGTATGCTATTCCTGAATCTTTAGGGTTCAAATTCTTGGTTCAAAAACCAACTGTTCAGAGAAAAACTAAATCTTAAGACTTGTATGCAGTAGAAAAAAATATTTTAAAATCTGGAAGTTGTAAAAAGTCACTGAAGTCTAAAAGCATGCTCTAGCTTTATTAAAAAAAATTGCAGTAGAACATAGCAAGGAAAACAGCTTACCATTTCAGTCTGCGATACTGCTGCAAGAATAGAATAGTTATACTTTCAGAAAAACATATTAAACTTATATGACATATTTATTCTAGCTTTATTCTGTTCCTCCAAAAATGTTGCCTTTACCCCAGCCTCAACAGTAGAAGAGTTAACAACAGTTATCCTGTTCTGTAACAGCTAGCCAGCTGTACCTCTAGCCTTTTGCTTTTACGACCCTCTAATTTTATCAGTTCTTCTTCATGCTATTTCAACCAACAATACGTGCAAATGAACAACTATTATACAAAACACGTTCTGATTAACAGAAGGAATAAACTTTCCATTACACTTTGCTTACCAGAAACCTATATAGAAGGAAGGGGAGTAGTTTTTTTTTTTTTTTAATGAAAGTAAGGCCACAATAAACATGAAGAGTTTTTTTTTGTTTTGTTCTGTTTTTTTTTAAAAGAAACATTTCCTGCAAGTCTTATCAAGGTTTATCATCCATTCATACGACTAGGACAGAGTTCTCATCTAATCTGTCTCTCATGCTAGGGAAACGCAGCAGGGGAATGAGAAGGATCTAGGCAGAGTTAAAGCCATTCATATGGCCTTAAATACACTGTAACACTAAGATTTAAACTATAGCTCAGTATTTCTTCCTTTAAACATTTTTTCTAAGATATTTCTGCTAACAAGTGACAAAAATAATATGAAAGAAGAATCTGAAGCTGTAACAAAGAAACCAGAGATCTTGATTTTTTTGCCAGAATATCCAATGGAAAATTAAGAAAAATCTCTTGAAAATACACGAATGAATATTCAAGACAGAACAGGACAATTTAGTTGAACCAGACAAATCATTACAAAAAAGTAAGCATAATATTAGCAAAACACATGCGTTATATCCGCGTTCCTTGAGATGGCAGAGAGTTCTCACTCAAGATAGCTTGTTGCAAAGCAATATGGTACCTGCCAATCACTTATCTTATTTTTCCAAACAAAGTACTCTGGTGAAAAGTACTATGAGTTTATATATTCCTATATAACACAAACAGAAGGACTCCTCTCTGCTTTTTAGTCAGTAAGTTGACATGACTTGTAATATTCCTACTGTGGCATTCTCCAATGCATACCACAAAGGTAGCGGGGAGGGTTGTAACAGGTAGAGGAAAAAAAATACATCTGCTATTCTGCTATACCTCATTAAAATCCACAGGCAGCTTAACCACCGTGGGTAAATTCACTGTCAGGAATGTCAACTTGCAGTAATACTTATGGAAATACTTATGGACATACTTATGGAATACTTATGGACAATCAACCATATGTACATGCTGACTACCAACATACTATACCAGAGCAGCAATTAGTACCTGACTGATTAAGGCAATCTCCAAAGAGAGTTGAAGTAAAATCTGCAAATTTCCACTGCTCATTCTGACTTTACATTTTATGAGACCTGAAAACTTATTTTGATGTTGAGAACTTCAGCTTTTAGAAAGCAAACACACTTCCAATTACAAAAAAATAGCTAGCACTAAAATACGAAAGCAAATTAAAATTAATCCGGATTGCCTGAACTTTATATATGTACTTTTCTGTCATAGCTAATTATGTTAAAAATGGAATATTAACTTCCTTCAAAATTGAAGTGGAGAAGAGTTTAGGATGCATACTGTGACAAAAAGTAAGTTAAACAGAAGAATGCATTTTTGTTAAAAGTCTTTGGGACGTATACTGTGAGAGAAACAAGAGTTCAATAGAAGAATGAATTTTAACTGCCTTTGTTCTAAATAAGAGGTAAGCCATAAATCTTCCAAAACATGAAACAGTTTCAAAGCACAGGGCATATCAAATCCGATATCAAGTATATTTTTTGGTTTTCCTTACCATTTAGTGTTTCCTCACATCTTTTAATCCAAACAGTAAAGGTATGATCTACATCTAGAAGAGACCAAACACAGTAACATTAAAACTCTTCAAGTACTACATGTATTGCACAAAGAACAATTCATCGCAACTACGAGCTGGAACAAATTCATCTCAAATTTGCACCAAATAAATCGTGGTATTATTTCCTAATATCTTCTAGTAACCTTGATCACTCCAGTTAAGCTGTAAGTATTTTTATACAACTCTGCTATTTAACTATCCTGTATTTAATTAACCTAAACTAATTTGTAGAACATTAAATTATGTCTGAACGGACCCAAATCTACCTATCCATTTCCAGTTTGCTTAACCACTGTAACTGTTCCAAACGCACAAAGTACTATTTTAGAGTTATATTTCCATTATTGTTCAAATTATTTTTTTCCTGAACAGTCAGCCACATACTTCCTATCTAGAAAAGTATCAGAAGAGCTAGCCTATCCCAAGGACGATTCAAAATTATGAAAGTTTTCACAAGCACCAAGTATTTTCTCCTGGTGGTGTCACACACAGTTTACATTGCACCTCTAAGGCTTCAGGGATGTTAGAAATACATGGATGCCAGCTTCACATTGTGAGTGAAAAAAATTACAAATAAGTGCAGTAAAGTCGTACACTAGAAGCAGCAAGCTAACTTCCCACATAGAAATGCATGAAATGGTTAAAAAGGTAGTAGCATAGTAAGAGTGATCACCTAATCCTTTCAGCAAAATTCCCAGAAAAAGCTTTGACAGTCAAGAAAGAAAAAAAAAAAAAAAAAGGCCACAACATTGCCAACCAATTACTAATCGCTAAACCTTCGTCTTTTTCCAAACAGGGAATTTAGGGCCAACCTCTCAAGCGCTGTTAGTAAAAGATACAAATGCAATTAAGAATATGGCTATCTTAACATTACAATAGTAGAGTCACTGGTAACCATTCTTTCCATTACCTTAGCAAATCCTGAAAATAAAGTATCTATTTTCAGAAAGAAATTTGCAAAATTTACCATCAGAATGTTCTGCTGAGGGGAAGTTGCCTTCAATTACTAAAGTTGTAGTTATAGAAAAAACACCGCCAGACCCTCCTCAGAAGTGTACAGAGAAGGGAAGTGAGGAAGAGGACACAAGATGCAACAAAGGAAATTCTGATTAGATAATGAAAAATTTGTTTACGAAAAGAGTAGTCAAACACTGGAGCAGGTTGCCCAGAGAACCTATAAAATCTTCGTCCTTGGAAATATTTAGAAATCAACTCTAAAAGGTCCTAAGGTCCTGAGCCAACTCATGCAAGTTCAAAGCTAACACTGCTTTTGACCAGGGTACAGGACCAGATGAGCTCTAGAGCTTCCTTACAACCTAAATTATTCTGTACTTTTAGAACTTATCCTCTATATCCCCCATAACACTTCCCAAGGTGCTGAACCTGGAAGCAAAGTTCATCAAACAAAACAGAAATGAAATTGAATATCATGATTATTATTCATGACCATGAATATTATGATCAGGAACCTAAGCAAAGACAATGAGTCAAGTCCACATTGATCCTGCCTCAGACTTCCAGCAGCAATGGTTTTCTGCTTTGCATACGACTGTTAAACAAGACACCCAACCTTTCTACTACAAGTATCTGCCCTATCCTCCTAAAAGATCATCCCCACCAACCATTGCCTCCCAGGATATTTTCTGATTTGAGAGAAAGGAGAATTGACTCTATAACTGCATTGTTCCTCCAAAGGACTAATAACTTACTAGTAACTTTCCAGTTCAGAAAAATCTATCTTAATTTACGAAAACTCAACTAACTTTTAGAATACAAAAAAGCACCTGCTAAGACGCTTCTTTAAAAAGTTGATACCTTCCACCTTCACAAAATTCATTAGGTGGTCATAGCAAAAAGCAAGAGAACTTCTCTAGTATAATTATCTAAAACCCATATAATGAGCTGAAGAATAACAGACCACGCTGCTTTGTCAATCTAAGGCAAATCACTAAACTCAAAAAAAATCCATGTGTACCTAGTCTTACGGTTGATTGAGAAAGATCTCGTTTCCTAATGTTATTTGATAAAATACAGAAACATTGTCCTCTGAATAATCCATCATGTCAAGTCCTGTTTAAACATCACTGCAGGTGAGTAACAGGAAGCTTGCTGCAGTACCCTGGGCACGTCAGTCCTACCAGTAATGAGCACAAGCAGGAAGCTCATCTCTGTTAGTGTTCCTGATTAAGGCTTAAAACAGATCTTGTATCAGCGAGGAACTGAAATACGTCACAGTGTACTTCTGCCCCCTTGTGAAGCAAAGAAACCAGCCTTGCCAGCAAAGAATTTCCCACCACAGGAACTCACTACCAGGCAGCAACAGCTAAAATCTACTCCTTTTATCCCCTGCTTAGTGATATGTGGCTAATTTTCCCATTGTGCTTTGCTCATTTTGCACTAGGTGCATTTAACTGGAAGTTAACTGTATTGCCAGAAATCCTTACACTCAATTCTTTTCAGCTGGGATCCATCAAACATTCCACAGAACTGCAAAAGGAAATTCTGTTACTGACATAAATTTGTGAGTAGATTAGATAATACACGGATGAGAATCAACTAACAGTTTGTATTTTAAAGACAACCTTCAGGAGACTCCTAGTCTCACAGTAGGTCATAAAATTTTATAATGAGATGCGGGAAGCACAGCAGAAGCAAGCTTCAGATGGCAAAACACTCAGGAAAGACCAGGAAACTACAGAAACGCTTTAACTGGGTAAATGGCAAAACGAAGACAAATAAAATATGGCAAAACAAAGACAAATAAAAGAGGTTAAATGTTAGTGATTCTAAATTAGCCAAGTATCACTCAAAGGAACCTGATATCCACTGACTCATCTACCAAGACATGTACAGCTCAGTGTGCTGCTGCAGTCTAGAACACGCTGTGAGGCTCAACATAATGAAAACAAAGCAACACACTGGCCAGAGAAATGTTTTGTGCATTTTGGGAGAACAACTCCAAGCAACAAACTAGAAAGGTGACAGAATCCACACTCGCGAAAAAGAAGTCTCCAAATCAGTAATGTTTGCTTGGGGTGACAAGATTACGAAAAACAGAATTTATGGCCTTGTCAGCCACTAAGGCAAGATCAAAGTGATTAGTCATTCAATTAAATTCAGGGGCAACAAGTTTTGAGATGTATAAAAAGTTACCTACCAAGCAAAGAAAGCTACAGAAATCACTGGAGGGAATCACTTCCTTTCACAGGAAGATACTAAATAGCAAACGTAGCTAGACTCCAAAGATGCATTTATATTTGCAGTATACAAACAACAGGAAATAAAGACTATCTAGTTGCCAAAATTACCAAAATTTTTTACGCTCCAGTGCTTCTTCCACTGCAACCTAAGCTGACAAATACCAGTTGCTGCAATTCCAACCTACACCCCACCACTGTCCCACCACTTCACTCCTGCTAGCTTCAGCAGTCAGACCCTTCAGCACAGTAACCCAGGAGAAAAATATAAATAAAATAGTAGTTTTCTGCAGACTTAATGCTCTGAAAGAAAGGATTAAACAAGCAAAAGAGTGGGAGCGGACAAGATCACTTGGCAGCAAGCACTTAAATTAGCTTATGCTCCCATGGAACCACAGTTTTAGATCAGAGCAGCAGATCACTTATTTGGCGGAGGCAAGATAATTACATTTTCACTGAAGTTTCAGGTCCTAGCCATTGTTAGAGCTAGCCATAATATACTAGAAAAGTCTTAGACTGTGACAATGCTGATCAGATCAGCGCACTTTGTTCTGTGTAACTTTCAAAGTGTTTTTCTTACCATTTCTTTCCCACTGCTGGGAAAGAAGAGAATGGGAGGAGGTGAGGATTTATTTTTAGTGGTGGACAGGAGGCAACAGAAGGGAGACTTATAACCATCTTGCAATTACTTTGTTCTGTGCTTTCCTGTACCTTCTATCAAATGCTTTCTGTACTGAACAACTTAATTCCTACTTCTCAAAGACAGGTTGCCAAAAAGCTCTAATACTCCCCAAACTAGAATATGCACAAGGATATTACTAACAAAACAAACAAAAACCTCTGCAGTTAATAAGCATAATCTAACAAAAAAGGTAAAAAGTCATTTGGTAAAGAGTAAAAGTAAGAAGCTGTTTTGTCAGTTCACACATATAAAGTTACATACTCTTTATAAAAAAGACCAGTCCACCAAAGGGTATAAAAAACGAAGAAATCCCAGCTACAAACCTGTTCTGCTTGAAAACTTTTCTGTGACATTTACTGCTACACCGTTGTCACCGTTTATTTTTAAGATCTCCAGGAAGCAGGGAAACATCCTCATTTTATTACTCAAAAAATCATAACGCTTTACTAGTTGCTAAGAATTGATACACATTTTTAAACTGTTTTATACTGTCATACAGCAATTGCACAAAACCTCCCAAGAGCCAGATCTGTTCCAAATATCTCAAGCAGGGCATCTATTCACTCACCATTAAAACAAAACAAAAAACAAACAAAAAACACAAAACAAACAAAAAAACCTTTGGTCTTCCCTTTCAGCTAATGCAATAAGAATTTTCCTCATATTAGTCAGTATTGTGCAAGTACTTTTAATACTTACTGTCCAACTTCTGTCCCTCTCTGAAAGACTCTAAAGCAGATGTGTAGTTTTTCATATGATATTCACCTAACCTGATATGACCAAAGAAAAGTATACAGAATCAGTAACTACTTTTCAATCTAAACCACATTCCGAAGATCACAACATACTCAGTTTATACACTATATTTGTTAAAGTTACAAACATAAGAATATAAATTGCCTGAGAACTCCGCTTTTGAAAGGGTTGGGATGTTAAGATAACAAGTCCAAATTCAAAATCCTAATGAGAAAATTTATTTTTTTTTAATAACCACAGCGCTATTACAGACGTGCCAGAAGTAGTATAGCATCAAATATATTCATTCATTTTGTTGTAAAAACCTTGTATAAAGCTGTAATTCAAATACGAGTATTGCCCTAGAAACTATTACAATATTCCCAAAACATAATATCAAATACATACCCTTTCCTGAGAAAAGCTACAGCGTTACTGGGGTTGAGTTCTAAGGACTTCTTTGCATCTGCAACAGCATCTGTGGAAAATCAGTTTACAGATAAGGAACATCAATATGTTATGAAAACGAGAAAACTGGCTGAGTGTTTTTGTAACATATTTCACCTCAAAATTTTGACTAGTTTTCTTATCTCACACACAAATTACGCTGCCTGGATTAAACATAGCCACAACCGATATGGATGACCCCTTCATTCACTTTAGAGCTCTGTGCAAGTATGCGCGAGAAGTATGAATGTCATTTATTCAAATCCTCTACTTAAACCCGATTTGTAAATCATTTTTTTAATGGAAAGAACAACTAGACCAAAGCTTTAGTATTAAGTTAATCTTTTTCCCATGCATTATTCAGCTATCACATTCCTACTATGACAGGATTCCGTCTCTACCAGGAGACCACACAAGGCCGGAAAACATTTACCACGTGAAGTCTAAAACCTACCTGAGAAGTCTACTGAAAAATAGATGCCCAGATAGTCCTGTGCTAAAATCAAATGGAAATCTATGGCCTGCAGAGTACCTAATTTATTGATAGTTTTGCAGATACAAAGCAAACAAAGACAAAGAAAACTACAAAGTATACCTTACTGTAATAACTGCCAATTAAGTTATAGGCAACAAATTTCTATTACTACTGTATTAATTGCAGATCTAAGACATCTTCTGTAAAGAATGTGTCGTAATACACTTGTAAAGGGATTATCAGTTTAAAGTTATTACCAGCATAATTCTGTAGAAGAATATAAGCATAAGCTCGTTGACAATAATATTCAGCATCATCTGGGTTCTTTTCCAAGGCTGCTGTCAGTTCCTGTAAAGAGAGACAAAAAAAAATATAAAATAGCAACTCAGAAGTCCCTGTAAAAGTACAATATCAACCTCTGTCAACTCAAAGACATTTCAGAACAAAATATCCTGAACTGGCTGGAACATTTGTCTATTGCCCAGTTTTGATCCACAAAGCTTATACATCAAAGGCTCACAAAGTACGAGGAATCTGCCAATTATACCAGATTCAAGGAACCTATTCCTTACCGACAAGGAAGCAAGTTTTTCAAATGCCATAACCATGAAGTCTAGTGCACAGCTGATCCTCTATATCCTAAAGAGCTGCCTACAGTTTTCAGCACTTCTGTACACAGGTCTGCTGGGTATGAGGAAGCAATGCAGTGCAGATTCGGAAATCAGCACAAAGTATGTCAGAACACTTGTGCAGGGATAACATACTCCAAGAGCCGTAACACATGATGAACGTGTTGTACAATATTGGTGAGCATGGGAGATTGTTTTGAAGCACACTGAGGAAGAAAACTAGCAGAAAAATATCTTTGCACCATTGGGCTTGCAGGCAACATTGCTGAATAACGGAAACGAGCATCAAGTATTTCTTTGTTAATGGAATGACGTTTACAGATTGAAATAATTATAACATACACTGCAAGAGAAAAGTTTCTTACATTCTGCACAGCAGAATGA